TTAGTAAAAAAATTTTAGATTTGATGCATATTAGATTTGATCTCCATTTACATCCGTGCAGCTTTGTAAAGAATCAGTAAGTCATTTAATGAATTATGGATTTCGAAAGTAAAGACTTTAAGCTGTGAAATGCTTTTTCGATCGTTATATTACGATAATTTTTGACAAAGTTCTATCTTGAATTTTTAGAAATTATCGACATTAACGCATTGTCCGGTCGATTAGTTTGGTGACTGTATTTTTATCAAATATTTTACATAAATCAGTTATGAAATGCATAAGATAATGATAAAACTGCACAAAGATAAATGTTTCATATATACTATACAGCAATATTATATACTATACATACAGTTAAAATGTTCCATTCTGTGATTAGTGCGAATATATATTTGTATGAATGTATTTTTTTAAACGTGTTTCGGTCCATTGCATAGTGAAGATGTTCTTAGATAGATATTAATGTTTAAATATTTTTTACATTTTTGAATTTATTTTTTTGTAACTTCTTTTTTCATTAATTAGCTGTGTATGCTAAAACTAAAAGTGTAGTCTCAACGTTTTGTTATTACAATTTTTGTAATAATGACGACTCTAAATGATGTATATATATTGTATATATTATATATATATATATATATATGTATTAATACATAAGGTCTACATAAATCTACGTAAGTCTGATGCGAACGAGCAATTAAATGAAATTAATTATCATCTGCCTCTATCTCTCTTTTTCTTCAAATAACAATAACATTATATACGCGCGTGTAAATTATGGACTTTTTATATAATATTAATTTTATTTAATTGCTCGTTTGCATCAGACTTACGTAGATTTATGTAGACCAAGTTCATTGTAAACAAGCTATGAGACATTCTATTTTGAGAAACATTTTCTCTATTTAAACGCAGTGTAGTTGCATTATTTCATTTCAACTTCATCATTATGCACATTTTGATTGTTGCACAAGTGCTAATATTGTAGAGAGCGCCTATTGTTATATATAATCACATTTTTGTAAAACAAACATGATATTTTAATGTTATTATATTGAAAAAATACTTAGTTGCTACGATTTAAAATGTGTTATAAGAAAGAATATTTTATTTTCTATTCTTATTTTCTATAATCTTTCTATAAAAAAAAATTACAAAATTTATTATAAAATATATTAATTGTTTTGTAGATTATATCATATAATTACATTTTTAAGTAATCACAATTAATTTATACAAGTTAATTTATACAAATTAATAACTTAATGTATGTTTCTAACTACGTTTTCTTTATATATCAAAAATATTTACAAAGAAAAATTATAAGTGTCATTCGATTTTAATGAGCTTTAGATATATATGTATAGTATTGGTAAAAAAGACATTTTTTATCAATACTATTATTTTTTATAAATGTTCTTACACACATTAAGATAGTAAAACAAAATCAATATTTTTATGCATATATCAATAACTCATAGAACATAAGAAATGTTTTAAATAAAAATTTTATGACTTTAAAAACAATTTATAAAGATGTATTAACATTTTTTTAATACATGTTATATTTTTAAAATATCTTACTAGTCATCATCGTTTTTGAGAATTTGAAAAATTTTTATATTTAACTGAATTTGTTCTTAAACAATTTTATCAGACAAAATTATAAAATATTTTTGTTATATTTTTTATATTTCTAAAAATAATTCTTTTCAAAGGAGTATTTTATCCTTTCAACACAATATAAGAGTACATAAAACATTTTTTTTATTATTTATTATTTATACTATGATCTATAGCTCATAGAAATTGGAAGGAATTATTTGTGTTTGTTTCTTTATTAGTTAATATGTATTTTATTTGTAGAATCTCTTGATTCGTCGTATTAACAAAAATTTTTAATATTCTTAATTTAATGTTAAGTTAATAATGTATATCCGTAATGTTAACATTTTTAACCTGCCTCTGACAGATGTGACAAATTGTCATTTCACGTACCGAAAACCGATCGAAACTAACCGAATTCAAAATTTTAATTTTAACATTGTTATAACGCGCTATAATGCGCGTAAAAAAGCATTGGTTGATGATACTTGACGAGATGCGAATAACGCATGGAAACCAGGAGTAAGCTTTAATAAGATTGTAACTCGAAATACGATTATAATAAAATTTAAAAAGATATAGTATTTATAGGGCGATGTCCTGCTAAGAAGGCACTAAAATAATGATGTGCTCCCTGCGACTTTATTTATGAAGGATAATTTTGAAATTTTAAAGGGAACCCCTCATAAGAAGTTACATTTTTTAATTTTTTCAGAAAAACAAGTAATTTTTAATTTTTAGTCTTTTTCTGAAATTCAAAAAAGTGCGCTTCAACTTTCACCTTTATAGACACTTTTAGATAGACACCAAAGATGAAATCAAAATACTAACAT